ATAGCTCTTGGCAAATGAGGAATTGATACACTGTACTTTTTATTTTTTCCTTTGGCAGTACAGGGGATGCCAAAGAAAAAAATAAAAAGGGGATGCAACCTGTACTGTTTAGGCAGGTGCTCTACCACTGAGCTACATCCCCAACCACTGTAAACTTTGTTTTTTGACTTTATAAAATTCTTGTCTCTCTCTTTAGAAAATGCCTATTTTATATTTTTTATGTCAGATTATCTTAAAACATGCTACAATCTGTAATATATTTAGGTAGCACAGCATCTTTCATGATTKTACAGAAATGTTTCATTTGAGGTTTGTATTATTTTATTCTTCTCTATCTTGATTTCACTCTTTCAGTGATACCCTTTTTTTTTAACCTGTGCTTGTATATTATGTCAGAGGCAAAAGGACTTTRTCTTTACATGATCTATGTAATGCAGATTTTTCTGTAGAAGCAAGACAACCCTTCGGTATATCCTGTCCTATAATTCACTGGTATTATGTCCTGGAACATGCTAATTCTTAGTTTCATCACAAAATACGGTGATTTTGTAAAACATTTAGCTCTATGTTTAGTACTTGATAAAAAGCTGCTTAAAATTTCACATAGTCTCTTGGACAGTCACCTAACATAAGTTGAATCATCATTATGATGAGCCTCAGAAAACTTTGGAAGGAAAAATTATACATACATACATACATACATATTTTTAAAATTTTTTTAAAACAAGTGTTAAGGATTGTGCCAAAGGTTCAGAAAAATTCTACTCTGCTGTTTAGTATATTTCATATGTTACATTATAGATCTGTTTGTAATTGGCTAACTTCTCTAGGTTTACTTTTACTCTCAAACTGATTTTTTTAACCTAGGTATTTTATATATATATATATAATTAAGCAACCTAATATAATTGTGACTTCACCATTCTGAAAACAGACTTTAAAGGCTTCAAGAATTTTAAAAGTTCTATTGTCCAAACAACAGTTTGCAGCATAGATGCCAGACTCAGATAAACTGTTTATTATATTCTTTCCTAAGGAATTCTCTGGTTATTAGGTTCGTAAATATCACTTTATAAGCGAATGTCATGAGGAAGTTTTAACTCATGAAACAGTAGTTCACTGCCTACTTCTTAGGGAAAATAATTTAAATAAATTCACTACACATCCTAGACAACATAAGGAGAGATCATCATCGTGGTGTCATTTATCCTCTGACAACTCCCTGCATGGATCCCAGGARGGATTGGGAAACACCTGAGTGGTTGGCATTGTTCTTCCTCTGCAGAAAACCCAGGATGTGATGTCATGTAATCCTTCCTCTCCAGCAACCTCAGCAACAGCAATGTCTGCTAACCTTGATTGGGTGCTAATGCTGAGCTAATTTTAATTCTAAAAACAATCCTATAAGATAGGAACAGATACCATCACCTTTGGAAAGATAAGACACAGAAACTTGGCAAGTTCAAGCAGTGTTTGAAACTTGGCAAGTTCAAGTTCAGTGCTTGGACACTGCCRCATTCTGCTTGTAAATAGGAAGCAAGTTTTGAGCTGAGGTATTAAAAAAATTTGTTTTGTAAATAAATGATGGAATTGAAAGACTTTCAAGCTTAAATCCTAATAAAACTTTTACCTTCTGTACTTCCTCTGTTTATTTCCAACCTAGACTTGGTCTCATCCTAGAGTAGAATATTAAATCTAGTTTAACAAGAGTAAAGAAAAATAGGCCTATTATTTTTCCTGTGGTTCTCAGTTACCACAACATGTGAGTTAATTGATACTTTCTTAACAATAACAATGAGTGACATACCAAAAAGTGACATTGCATAAATAATCACCTTTGGGTGAGACTCCTTTGTGTTTTGTGATCATCCTTAATAATATAGGCAGTGAAATTTTTCTAAGAGAAGTACTATTTCTACCCTGCTGTCTAGTATATTTCATATGTTATACTATAGATCTGTTTGTGATTGGCTAACTTTTCTAGGTTTAATTTTACTCTCAAACTGATTTTTTTTAACCTAGGTATTTTATTTCTAGACGAGTCTTCCTGAAGTGTCTCTATTGAAAATTTTTAAATTAAACAAATCCGAATGGATTTTTGTGATTCTGGGGACACTGGCTTCTGTTCTAAATGGAACTGTTCATCCGATATTTTCCATCATCTTTGCTAAAATCATAACTGTAAGTAAAACTCATTTGCTGATATCTTTTAACAATTTAAATGAAGTGTAGTGTGGTAGAACAAACTCGTTGGACCCTGATCTGTAAGGGGGAAAGTGAAGGACTCAGGGGGGGTCACCCCTGGGTTGGTAGTGAGTGGGGGGGTTCTGGAAGGAAAGTGCACTAATTTTGACTCCAGTGTTGTATGAGCATTCTAAAGCACTGAAGTAGTAAAGCAGACGAATGCAGCTCCCTCTTTTCAACTAGTCAAAACAATGGGCCATTGATAATTTGTTTTTGTTTTGTTTTACAATGGCAATTTTTTAATATCAGCCAGCTCATAATAAGAAATAAGAGTTGGGACCTTGAATGCTTGTTTGAAGGTTCTAGCAGGAGAGCATAGCTCAGTGATTGAGCTCTTACCTAGCACGTGTGAGGTACTGSGTTCAGTTTTTGGCACTGTACATAAATAAATAAAACAACAGTGCATTGTAAAGATATTTTWAAAAATTTTTTAAAAGAGTTAAGGATCGTGCCAAAAATTCAAAAAAATTAGTTGGTTCAATGATGTTACTAGATCCCTGTTAAGTTCGTTGGTTCAAAGATGTTATTAGATCCATGTTAAGTCCTCATTGTCCCTGGTTGCACCACTATATTTCAMTAACATAAATGCCAATATAAGTATAATTGCTAACTTTAAGAACCATTTCCAGGGGCACACCTAAGGGCCTCATATCTAGGTACTTTAGGAACAGAGGAATATTAAGTAACCTGAGTTATTAAAGTGATTGGAAATAATCATTGAAACAAACTCGTGATTTAATTGAAAATACACTGTAATAATAATAGCAGAGAGAAGACTCACTTACCTGATGTCACACTTCCATAGTTTACAAGAGAGAATTATAAGTAAAATTTTTTTATCATTTGTATTAAATGCAGGACAGTGGTAGAATATGGCACTTTCTCTTCCCAGAATTGGGAGGTCTTTGTTATATGTTGTAATTCATTTAGAATAATCATGACAATATATAGATTATTTTTTCCTGTTTCTTTTATATTTTCTTCTAAATTCCTGATGCAGATTCTATTTCTTTTCAGATGTTTGAAGGTAATAATAAAACCACATTGAAGAACAATGCAGAAACCTATTCCATGATATTCTTCATTCTGGGCATTATTTCCTTTGTCAGTTTCTTCATGCAGGTAAACTTTTAATAAATGATCCTGAGCAGTTTTATTTTTTGATGTTGTTATTTGAGTTACAAATACAATAGCTAAATGTTACAGAGACATAGAAAAGAGAATTAAAAATAAATGTAGATTTTCTTTTTGTTTTCCAGGGATTGTTTTATGGCAGAGTAGGGGAAATTTTAACCATGAGATTAAGACATTTRGCATTCAAAGCCATGTTATATCAGGTCAGTGTATTTAATTGAATTTGTATTTTATTTGAAATCTATTATAAAATGTCTCAATTCTTAACTCCTTCTCAGGCAATTTCTGAACATCGTCTTTCCTTTAGGTCATTTAAATGGATGCTTTTTGTTGTTCTGAGGAGCAAAAATCTGACATCAGAATTCATTCAGTGCTGGGCGCAGTGGGGCACAGCTGTAATCCCAGCAGCCAGAAGGCTGAGACAGGAGGATCTAGAGTTCAAAACTAGCCTCTGCAAAAGCAAAGCTCTGAGTAACTCAGTGACACCCTGTTTCTAAATAAAATACAAAATAGGGCTGGGGATGTGGCACAGTAGGCAAGTGCCCCTCAGTTGTTCAATCCCTGGTACCAAAAAGAAAAGGAAAAAAAAAAAGAATTCATATAGTATATTTTCCTAATAAAAGCAAGTCCAAAAATTGTGATGTTTGAAAGTAAGACTTAAGGAAACGAGGACTGAGCTTTCAGTCCCAATCCTTGCATTCAACTTAACAAGTCTCTATTTATGCATGATTGTGGTGCTCCAGGATGAGAATGGAAGACCAAATTAAAACTGAAAAGCAAGAGCCACAATAGACTGGGAACATGCTTGAAAGGAAGGAGTTTGATAATTTGTCCAGCTCTCATCCATTGGCCAGTTTTAGTGTTTTTACTCCACACTTGTTAAAACAGCCAGTCTCCCTKCCCTCCTGGAAAGAGTCCTGAACTCAGATACCATCAGTGAGAATGGCAGGTCTGCCTGCCTCAYACAGATGATCAGTTGCACCTGCAAAATAACTAAAACTAGGTGGATCAAGTAGTAATCTTGAAAAGTGAGTCTTGGGGGCAAATGGCAGGAATGTCTCAGACTGGCACCTCTAAAATTCTTTCATGAGGCTGAGGTGTATTGGGTTACCCTGAAAGCCAGTAATCATCTGGAGCCCTTTGCCTCACTTTCTGTCACCAAAGCTCACCGAGCAGGAGCAAATAGCTTCCTGCCAGGGTAATAATTTCTTTTCAGAAATAGAGTTACTGTCACTCCAACTGAGTTGTCAAAACCAGTTTCTTTTTTTTTTTTTTTTCCCCTCCATCTTGTGACTTTTAGAAGTGCTCCTCTAAGGCCTGCCACATAACAGAATTCTGTAGTCTTTGTGCTCTTGGGGAACTGCAGGATGTTACAGTGAAGTGACCTGGAGGCTTCTGAGAGCAATGTGATGCTCTGAAGCAAAGGATGACCTAATCCCCTTGGCTCAAAAAGGTCCTGTGTCAGATGTTTTGCTCCAAATTTGGAGAAACTCCTTGATCTAGAAAAAGAAAATCTACTTGAGGGATTACGAAGTCCTTCATTGCCTGCATGCATCTCTCATGCTAAATATGTAATACCTTTCATTAAACCTTTTTGTTCTTACTTCATGTCTTCATCTTTTAATTTAACTGATAATAATATTTTGCACTTGAGAGTTTCCACTTTTTTTTAACCTTTATTTTATTTGTTTGTTTTTATGTAGTATAAGGGATCTAACACAGTGCCTCACACCTGTTGGGCAAGTGCTCTACCGCTGAGCCACAACCCTAGCACCATTCTGCTAAGTTTTTGTCTTGGTGAATTTATGGTTTTCCCTGTTTGAGTGTATTTTCTCTGTTTGAGTGTATTTACTTTATATTTCTAGGAATTTTTTTAAATGTTTCCTGAATGTCTAGCTACTTTTATGCAAAAGATTATAAATTTTATTTTTTTCCAAAGCATACCTTGAACTTCACCTTTTTTTCACAGAAAGCTTGTAGTGGAAGAATCTTAAGGCCGTGAACCAGTTTAACCAGTAGAACTGTTGTTAATCTAATAGTTTGGTGGTTAATATTGGACATGAATCCTTTGTCTAGCATTAGCTATGTGAACATCAGTGCAGTAATCTTGTCGAATAAAGAAAGCTTTGCCCATAAGAATGTTCTAACCTACAAGCCATAAACTCTTTTAATCCATAAACTCTTTTGATACGACACACACAGAAACCCTGTGCTGTCTAACACATATTATTAAATTCAACTCTGTCCCTTTCAGTACATTATTTATTTTCCATCATCATCCCTCAGCATTCTTTTTGCTTTGTATATTGGCTTTGTAAATTGGAGGAAAAGTTGTAGTTTAGTTAGCCTTTTCCCCTGTAAGTATCTTCACAGTTTTGCTCTGTCCATTGTGATATGTGTTTTTACCTAGCTTTTGTCACCTGGTTTTGTCCTACGATAAGATTCTGTGAGGTGTGTAAGGCATGCTAAGGCTTGCAGTGCTTTTTATAACCATTTTGAAATCTCATGTGAGATAGAGGTATTCATAGAATCAGGTGTGGTTGTTTTGTAGGTATGAAGTCTGTATTTTATGTGATTACTTAAGATCCTTCCCAGTTGAAAAGAATATTTAATTGTTACTGACTTCCATGCTTGTAAATAATTTATTGTTCATGTTTTTCAAAGCTATGCTCATGGTATGGCAGGATCTAGACTGGGATTGTGCTTTCAAAGAGGCTACTGGGCAGTGTGGATTGTGATCTCCAGAGGACATCCTTTGAGCATCTAAGATCCTAAATTCCTRGGACACCTTCCCAATGCAATAACTCAGAGTGGTCCTACCATGCTGGGGTTGTACCCACCCAGGTTCCTGCCATATTCCTCCACAGGAGTTTTCTTCTAACAATTCCATGCATAGCCTTCAATCTGTGAGGTTTTTGTTTTCTTAATTGTCAGTAATGTGCAACCTGAGCCTCAGAGCCCTGGCTGTGTTGCAGTAAGCCAATAGTTTGGGGGTTTTTTGTTTGTTTTGTTTTGTTTTGTTTTCTCTCTCTTTCTCTCTCTCTCTCTCTCTCTCTCTCTCTCTCTCTCTCTCTCTACTTACTAAAATTAAACTATTTTTTCAGATACAATCTCCATATGGTTTTAATCCACAAGAGATACAAGTGGATTGACTTGTGGGAGGAAACATTCAATTGCTAATAAAAGGAAATCAAAATTCCTCAGGATGAGAAGTACTAAGAAGTGCTGCCTTTGAAAATGACATTGTTTCTTGCATTATGTTTTTATTGTTTGCATTTTTGACCTGTCTCTTTTAGATTGCATGCTTCTTAGCTACAGGAGTTTCACAGCCTTCTGCTTCTCGACAGTACCTAGCACATGTAAGATCTAGGGAGTAGTATGTCAGGTAAAATCTTGCCCATGTGGATCCTAAAGAAAAGAGATAGACTTACTATCAATAGACAGTTTAGGTAAAAAAGATATGAAAGTATTTCTAAATTGTGTTATGCATTGATTTTCTAGTTAAATAGAATCTGCCCTCCACAGAGTATTTTGTGGAGTAAAATTACGTGATGTCTCCAAATGGCCAGTTTTAACATCATTTATTATGCAATATTATAACATGGTAATGAGTCCAAGCTGTGGGCTTAAGTTTTTCAGTTTATATCTAAATACAGATCTTTATAAAGTAAGAAGCACACATCAGTTGATCACCAGTACTTATTTAAGTACCAGTGTGTGAGGAGGCGGGTCAATGCCTTCTAAGTTACAACAGCAAAATCATAAATTAGCAAAGAATGTTTTTGATAAACTTAAGCACATTTCCTGTTTCTCTAGGATATTGCCTGGTTTGATGACAAGGAAAACAGCACAGGAGCCTTGACAACAACATTAGCCATAGATATCGCACAAATCCAAGGGGTAGGTATATTGTTTTTATTTTTAAATGGTGTATTATGTGGTGTGCACATGSGTACCTGCACACATGTCTTTGCCTGTATGCGAGCTGGGCTGAGATGACCCATGTCATCAGGAGGACTGGTCAGTCTCCTGAATAGCAGGGAGTTCCTAATGAGATGTGGGGAAGCCTTTTAGATTTGTGTATGTTTAACCAAAAATAAAGAAGCTTTAGCACATGAAATAGGACAACTGGAGGACTAAAGAAGATAGCAAGAATTAATTTGAGAAAAGAACTCAGAATTAAATAGTAAGAAAAGATAATAAAATGAAAGAAAAATATCCTCACTTAAGAAAAAGGACAAAAGTTTTGTTTCCTTACCCCAGACAATAATTCTTATTTAAAGTAATATCTAACAATTTATATTCACGCATGCCTCTGGAGATGATTCTGTGCTAGCTGTTATACAGACCAGTTCTGTGTAAGCAACATGTTTATGTATCACAATCAAAATCATTAACACAATGGCCAGCATAATATATGTAAAGCTAGTGCTTAAATAAGTGTGCGGAGTAGGCTAATCTTCAAGGGATAAAGAACTTATTAAGTTTCTTYCAGTTACTTTAATACAATTAATTTTTATATAACAAGTAAAATTCTTACTCTGAGAAAAAGAGCACAAAACAACATCTCTAACTTTTGAGATAAAGTACTCAATCTCTTTGTTAAAACAAGGACGTCTGCAGAGTTATATGCTTTCCTTTTTCCTTATGCATGTGGAAAAAAAAAAAAAGAAAGAAAGAAAGTAGTCCACCTCTCAACAACAAGGTTTTAAACTATTAGAAATACTAAGATGTCAATTACAGCTTTTTTTTTTTTGTACCAGGTACATGCCCATCTCTTTTTATATTTTATTTAGAAACAGGGTCTCACTGAGTTGCTTATGGTCTCACTAAGTTGCCGAGTCTGGCTTTGAACTCACAMTCCACAATCCTCCTGCCTCAGCCTCCTAAATCACTGGGATTACAGGCGTGTGCCACCATGCCCAGCTGTAATTACAGCATTATGAATAGAGCATCAGATTGTTACCTAAGACAACTCATCAGAATTGCATGGGTTTTTTTTTTTTTTGAGATTTTCACAAAAGATGCCAACTATTACAATTTTTCTAACTTTTGCAAGACCTCTGTTCAATATATATCACCAAGGATAGATTTACATGTTGGAGRCTAGAACAAGTTAGTTACAAATGCAGATGTCCTCACCCATCCATTTTAGGTTGAGAAAACTAATTTCATGTTGAGAGAGAGATGGAGAGAAAAGAYGGCAGCTGCATCTCTTTCTGAGATTCTTTCTGTTCATTTTGAAGGCAAGGCTCTAGAGTTTCATCAGATAATATTTAAATTTTTAACAGAGGCTGAGGAGCTTGGCATAAATGGAAAAAAAAATGAAGGGTGAAATTTTGCTTAGTAGAAAAATAATAAGGGCAATCTGCTATCAGGTCCTCTCTCGCCCTGTGAGAGTTCTGTTTCTGTTTCTATTCTTAAATAAATCCTTCTCCTTTCAAAAAAACAAAATAATGAATATAGAATTTATTTACACAACACAATAGATTTATACTTGTGCATTTAGAATTCCATGATTTACAACTCTGCACTGAAATATCAATCCTTATTATTCCATTTCAATCCGAATTTCATCTAATTTGCTATTTTTTCTTTACTGTACTCTTTTTCTTTTACTACCTTTTTGGGAATCTTTTGATTGAAACAGGCATTCATACTAGCAGTTATAGATTATAAGTGAAACACCTCTTTTAACAAGTATTTGCTTCACTAAAAAGCCAAATGAATACTGAAAGGCCAACATTACTGCCCTTACATTCATTAATTATTTCTAATATAGTATTGTCTCTGATTGAGAAAAATTAATGATATTACTTTCCTGACTTTTTTTTTTTTTTTTTTTTTTACTAAAGATCATACCTAGGAGTACTCTACCACTGAATTAAACCCACAGCCTTTTTATTTATTTATTTACTTACTTACTTACTTACTTATTTACTTATTTATTTATTTTTGACAGGGTCTCATAACTTGCTGAGACTAGCTTCAAACTTGTGATTCTCCTATTGCAGCCTCCCAAGTCACTGGGGTTACAGACGTGTGCCTCCATTCCTGGCTGCTTGACTTTTTATAAGTATCTTATTAACACCAAATGATCTTTTGAAACTTTCTTGTTGCAATTAGGAAATGCTGATATCCTAATAACTTCTGGACAAGTAAAATCATTGTCACTAACTCAAAAGTAATAGCTAAAAAATAATGATTGGAATTCTGATGGAAGAATTTGAACTTGCTGAATTTAATCATAAAATGACCAAAAAAGGTTTCTAAGGGTGAGACTGTGTCTATTAGTAAAGTTATGTAATTCATATAAACCTTGAAGAGTTTTTTTTTTTTAATCAAACAAAGAAGTATTTACCAATCCTATTTGTCTACCAGTTCCTTTTTCTCAAAGATGCTTTAGACAAGAAATGAGTCAGGAAATAACTTGGGGTTATACTTTCTATTATATCAACTTAATTAAACCATACTTCATCTTAGTTTTTTTTTTTTTTTTTTTTTTTTTTTTTGTAACCAGGGATTGAACCCAGGGGGACTTAACCATGGAGCCATATCCCCTTTTTATGTTTTATTTAGAGACAGGGTCTAGCTAAATTGCTCTGTACCTCACTAAGTTGCTGAGTCTGGCTTTAAACTTGCCATCCTCCTGACTCAGCCTCCCAAGCCAGTGGGATTACAGGCATGTGCCTCCACGGCCTGCATCTTAGTTTCTTTACCATGTAATTTCAATTACATTTTGTCTTATCAAATGTAAGAGAGTGAATATTCATAAGTTAGCTCCAAACATTGATACATCTCAGTCTGAAACCTTTATTGGCCAAAAATATATGTCTCGGGATTTTTTTAGAAGCTCTGATACTTTGAGAGTCATGATAAAAACATGTTAATGAACACAATCCTAGAAGAGTTGAATGAATATAACCAATCTGACTGGTATGGTTTTAGCCCAAGGTAGTGACTTATTGCCAGTACATCTGTCAACACACTGTTTACAGTGTAATAGGTAGTTTTAATAAAGGTATAAAACCATTTTAGATTCTTTTGGAGACTAGATTTTACAAAATTACAAGGTATTATTATTTCTGCATATTTTAGTAACCCTCCCATCAACCAAAAGTCTTACCTCATTTTTGTCCACAAGAAAGTGTGTTGTTGACACCACAGTGTAAACTTTATTTACAACTGACAGACCCCATGCTAGTGCCAAGAACTTCTCATCAGAGCTATAATTATATTGCCCCAAGAAATAATAAAAATTTATTTCATTTATTAATTCCAAAAGCCCAACAAGCTGATTAGTTAGAACTAGAATATTATTACTAGACAATGATGACCTCATTCCTTAACTCAACTTTTGACATGGGAAATGTACAAAACAGCTTGATATTACTTTTGATTCAAACAATGTTAGTTATTCATTGAAATGACTTTACTACAGTATAAAGTTGATATATAATTAGTTTTGCCCTGCAGTTTGAGATTGAGTAAATTAAGAAAAATTATCAAGTCTACAGCAAAAGCTATATCTAAAGTCATGAAAATGCCTGATATATTCGATTGTTTTCCATAAAATGCATGCTGATGGATAATAACAATGAATAACTGTAAGCTTTAAATATTTCACATCTTCACAAGATTTTGTAAATTCGTCCAACTGATTCTTTTTTCTGTTCACAAATATTTTCACCACCATCAGTTATAATGCATCTTAACAGATTCCACTTTGGGYTGCATTGACTTAATTTTTTCTTAAGTTCTTTGAAAGTGTTCTCATCTGTAGTTATCCCACGGAGACTATTCATGGCACCTAACTGTTCAGTCACTTAAAACTCCACAGTGGTTCTCAAAAAAACAAAAACCAACACTGAGCAAAATCATTACAATCTATCAACTTATCCTGAGCTAGAAAAACCACTCAAGATAATCTACCTTACTTTTTAATTATTGACGTTGCTCTCCCTGTCTTCATTGAGAATAAATTTTCACCAAATGGCTAGTAGTCTTAAATACAAGTCATGCATTCTGAACATACTTCTTCCCATTATAATCAAACATGATTTAATTAACTCATTTCCTGAAAATGATGTTCTTTACTTGGCTGGTAAATGAGTCATACAGAAAATTACTTTGGTTTCAGTCTCATTATCACATTTTAATTTTGTGAAGAAATTCTGCTAATAGATTCTATTTTAAATTTTCTAATTTTCCTGAATCTTGTTTTCTTATGAACTGGGAATATTATAATAAATGGTCAGTCTGGTAAGGTTTGTATATTTTGTTAGTTTTCATCACTACATAGTGTCACTACATATAAAGTAAAATGTTTGTAATTAGAATACAAAACTAGGGGCTGRAGTTGTAGCTCAGTGGTAGAGCGTTCCCCTGGCATGTGTGAGGTCCTGGGTTTGATCCTCAGTACCACATGTAACTAAATAATTAAATAAATAAATTAATTAAATAAAAGATCTAAGGACAATTAAAAAAAATTTTTTTTAAATGAAAAGCTGTTCGCAGTGCACCATGCCTTAAAAACATTACATTTGAAGTGCACTTTGTCTTTCTTGTTTTAAGATGATGGATATACAATGGTAATTTTAAAAACTAGGATAAAATGTCACAATATAGCAGTACAAGAGGTGCTTAACATGCTATCAAATTATAATCACATCATTGAATTTCTAGCATGTTGAACAAGCAGTGCAATGTGATGAGGGGRCACATATGATTATCTTGCATCTATTGAACTCTATTATTGAAACCTAAGACTGCCAAAAAAACAAAAAGTAAACAAAACAAGATAGTATTCTAATAAAACTTTATTTTTAGACATAGGAATTTGCATTTATACATCTACCACATAATGCAGTATATTTTTCTCTCATTTTTTTCCCAGTCAT